ACCGAGGGTGGAGGACCTACTCCGGACCTATACCTCACTTAAATGCCGCGGCTTATGGTTTGGAATGTTAGAGGTTTAAACAAAACCTCTAAACATAATATTATTGCTTCTTATATTAAGTCAAATAACATTTGCTTAGTATGTTTTCTAGAAACTAAAATGACTTTGGCCGCCTTTAATAACTATGTTTTAAATAAATGGCCGGGTTGGATTTTTGAGAATAATTTTGACCTAATTAGTGGGGGACGCATTGCGGTTATGTGGAACCCTAATCTAATAAAATGTGATTTTTTGGAAAAAGAAAAGCAATTTATGCATGCGAAGTGTATTTGTAAGATAACTCAAACTCCTTTCTTTGCTACGTTTGTGTATCCTTTGTATATTGTACTAGAAAGAAAGTCTCTTTGGGACTACTTGACCTTGGTAGGTGAACACTTGATTGAGCCATGGATGGTGTGTGGTGATTTCAATTGCATATGTGCGCCTAATGAAAGGGTGGGTCCTACCCCCCCCCCCCCCCCTACGGCGTATGTTATGCAACACCTTTTTGACTTTAAAGCCACTAATGGCCTTGAAGATGCACCCTCCACAGGAGAGTTCTTCACTTGGAACAAAGGTGCACTTTGGGCCAAACTTGATCGGGTTTTGATCAATGATTGTTGGGGGCTTAATAGCATTGGGTGTAGGGTCCATTTCCATGAAATGGAGGTAGAGTTCGACCATACGGCCTCCGTTGTGTCTATACTCTTAAACTCCCCTTCTAGACCCAAACCCTTTAAATTCTTTAATATGTGGCTAAAACACCCTTATTTTGCCAATATTTTAGCATTGCATTGGAATCAAGACTTTAATGGAACGGCCCAATTCAAGCTAGTTAAGAGACTAAAGGGACTTAAAAGACCCCTTAAGACTCTTAATGCCGCGGAGTTTGGCCATATCTCTAATAAGGCTAAATTAACAAAAGAAGACTTCAAAAGACTTCATAAGTTGGCTCTCCAACGCCCGGATGAATTGGAACTAAAGGCACAATTGGCCGCGGCATCAAAGCGAGCTATCTTCCTAAGTGAAGCCGAAGCTTCCTTTTTCCAACAAAGGGCTAAAGCTACACACATCTTAGAGGCGGACAAGTGCACCAAGTACTTCCATGCAATTGTGAAGAGGAATTTAGCAAGGAACACAATCTCATCGCTCACCTAGAAGGATGGTACACTTACTACCTCGTTGGACCAAGTGGGAAATGAATTTGTAAGTTTCTTTGTTGATCTATTTGGTACGCCTAGTGATTGTCTTGCATTGGACCCCTTGGTTTTACCTTCGGGTCCACTTGTTCAACCAAGTGCCCACATGAGCCTTATTGCCCCGGTCACAACATTGGACATCAAGAATGCCTTATTTGACATTGGCAATGACAAGGCTCCGGTCACCAGAGAAAAAAAAATGCCAAATTCATTACGAGTGCCATATTTATGGCAGAAAACAATTAAAATGTTGACATTCTCAAAGAGAAATATGTCATTTTTTTGACATTTTCAGGAAAAATGACACTTTTTACCGGCCGGAGATGGTGGTGCAAGGAGGTAGTAGAGGCGGTGGGAAAGGCATCCATATATTTTTTAATTTTTTTATGGAGTTTTACTTTTTTTTATTACCTTTTTAATAAAATATTAATAATTTTTTTTTTATTTTTAAAAAAATATATAATTTTTATATTATTTTTCTAAGAATTTTTGAATTTTTTTCAAATTTATTATGAATTAAACATTTAATTATGACTTGTAACTATTTGAGGTTTTATTTTAATTATTTTTCCTCAGACAAAATCATACCTCTGCCACCATTAATGTTTCTGCAACTGGTCGTACAAGAGCGAATGCAAATGCTCTTTAATTGCATCCCGGTTACTTCGGTTCAGCATAAACATTACAGCTCCTGGATGGTTTTTCAATCTTGCCACTATAATATAGTAGCATCAGGTTTTGGAAATGTCAATACCAGAAAACACAATAGTCAGGATGAGAGGGACAAAATATTTTCTGCATCCATCAAGATATGCAACATAAGTACCTTCAGGGATGTCATGTCCTGCCTTTGAGATGGGTACAGAAGCCAAAACCGGGAACCCTGCTTCCAGTATTTTCAGCACAGCAGGGAAAAACAAAGGACTGTATAGTTCCATCTTACCAACTTCATCAATGACCAACAGATCAGTATCTTCCTTTACCTACTAAAAGTGTGAATTTGGTAAATATTCATACCATTAGATGTGACATAATTTAAAAGAAAGAGCGATTTGCACAAAACAAAAGTTGCCAGCCTAGAAAAGACAGAACATTGCATTCATGGTAATTCATTAGAAAAGAAAAATAGAATTCCACAGATAGGATAACCTACCTGTAACTCAGGCAATGCTAATGACTCAAAAGATGAGAGATCCACCCTGTATCCGCCCACGGCGGGCCATCTATGGGAATTGGAACTGCCATGCGAAGGAAAAACATCAGCCAAATGAAGAGCAACTGCTATTATACATAGCTAGCCATAAGAACGTAAAATAAATCAGGGCCCAATGCCGCGATGGATGAGAATCCCCATAGTCTTGGAGTCATAAAACAAACTTATAATTCCTTTATGCACATCTTAGAAGTATGAATTAAACAAGCTAGACAAAAAAGACATAATTATGTACTTCTGTGCATAGAACCAGAAGGTGAAAGGAATGCAAAGGTCTAGTCATCAACCATATAAGCGCCTGAATAAAAATAGAATGTTTCAACACAGTCGAATAAGATCCAAAAATGTTGTCCTACAGGATCAATTTTTTCATGTTATTGCAAAAGTTTGCATGTTACTAGCAGCAAGAAATCAATTTTGATCTCCAAAAGATTTCTCCTTTTGTACTGTGTAAGTTCCTTAATTGAGCATCAGTAGCCCTTGCCCTATGAAGCCTCACATTTCATTAGTCCATTCACTTAATTAGATGAGGCTCTTAAATTTTCTAGCCAAATCAGTATTCACCAAAACAAGTTCCAATAGTCCTTTATTAGAATAAGCTACAGTTGGCTAGAGAAAACTACACATTACAAATTTCAAAAACCAAGCTATTTACCTGGACATTTTTCTGGAAGCCAGAAGCCCTTTTCGGCCATCTAGTGTGACCACCTCGAATCCTACCCTCAGTGGTCCGTCCTTAACTTCACCTTTTACCCCAGCATTTCAACAAATCGATTATTCCTACGCGATATAAGCATACAAAGAAACACGAAAACAAAAGGAGAAAGTTCATACAAGTATAGAAGCCCTGGAGCTTCAAATTAGGGTTGGAATTGCGAAGGCTTTCCAGCACTCTGATTATAAGAGTAGTCTTGCCCACACCCTGAAACCAAATACTCCGTACTAAAAAGTGATATAGCGTGTATGGGTGTGTGTTGAGATTTGAGAACAAGGAGGCAAAACGCATCGAAACGAAAGAAGCATACAGGAGGTCCAGTCGCAAGGAAGCATTTCCCTGGAGCTGCCATTTCTTCTGTCCCTGTAACCAGAGATTAACTGTGTCAAACGAACCACACGTTTACAAATTATGCAGTTAACCCATTTTTAATACAAAAAAGCTTCGGATACATCAAGCTATAAAAGCCCAAAAAAGCTCCCCAAATGATTTAAGTTATCTCTATTTATAGTAGTAATAAATGCTAGATAAGGACACGTGTCAGTTTTCTGGTGGTCGAGGGGTCACCTCGACCGGGGTGGCACCGGCACTCGCATGTGGCCGCATTAAATGCGGTGGTTGGATGTGACGTTTGTACTTGGTACGGTGATTCAGGCGCACGTGAAGAGGATATTCTGTCGAGGTGGATGCCTTCTGCCGAGGGCTCCTACCTGTCGAGGGCTGCAGGTGCCGAAGGCTTGGTTTTCAAGCCTTGTTCTCTTGTGATGTCTCTTCTAACCGAGGGCTCCTACCTGCCGAGGGCTGCAGGTGCCGAAGGCTTGGTTTTCAAGCCTTGTTCTCCTGTGATGCCTCTTCTAACCGAGGGCTCCTACCTGCCGAGGGCTGCAGTTGTCGAAGGCTTGGTTTTCAAGCCTTGTTCTCCTGTGATGTTTCTGAGCTCGATTCCGTCACTGGTAGCCTTCGGCCATAGGGCCGAAGGCACCCCTTTGCGTATTGTGGGCTACTCAGAGCTCCATTTTGCTGAGCTTGCCCCGTTTGGGCCTGTTGGGCCTGATTGTAGTAGAGGAAGTATGTGGGCCGGGGGTCTCTGAGCCATATACTCCATCAGGAGTCCCCCACTCCTTTTACCGAAAGGTACTTGAGGGAAAAGGAGTAGTTGAGGTGATTTCCCCGAAGGCTTCCCTGTTCTGTTGGGTGCCTCATTTTCTCAATTCCCCCATATGTTGAGGGCTGAGAGCTTCCTGAAGGGAGTGTAAGTGTGTTGCTCGTATGTGTTTCTTTGTTGTAGTTTGTAAAGTAATGAGAGATCTGCATTTGTGTGCTTTGCCGAGGGCATTTGTTGACTGAAGGCTTTGTGTGGCTGAAGGCATCATGTGGCCGGAGGCATCATGTGGCCGAAGGCATCATGTGGCTGAAGGCATCATGTGGCCGAAGGCATTGTGTGGTCGGAGGCATTCTGTAAGCCGAAAGCATCATGTCGAGGGGAGTAGATTGCCGTTGTGATCTTGCCTCAGCTTGCTGTAGCTGAGAAATAGAAAGTTTTTAACATTTGCGTGTTTGCCGAGGGGAGTCCCCCAGTCCCCCACTCCTTTTGCCGAGAGTTTCTCGAGGGAAACAGGAGTAGAGTGATGCATGCCCTCAGCAGGAGCCGTCGAGGGGTGATGCCTTTTTTTCCACAATGGGGAGATGCCTCGTTAAAAACCTCATTAGGAAAAAACCCTGTGGGAAAAAATACTAATGAGGGAAAAAGAGTACACCGGATGCCCTCAGAATGAAGCAAAAGGAGTGCACCCTTCGGCCTTGATTGGTGAGCAGCGGTTGTGTCCGTCTGTTGAGGGGATATCCAAGATCAGCCTTAGATCCTGCATGAAAAAGCTAAGGAGCTTGTAAGGACCCCCCCCCCCCCCCCCCCCCCCCCCGTTATCAAATAAAGGTGACGGAGGGGTGCAAGGCCAGGTGGGCTTGTGTTAGAGCCCCTGGCATCAAATACAGATGCCGGAGGGATGGAGACCGAGGGGTCTTCGTGATGGCCCCCGACATCAAATAAAGATGTCGGAGGGATGAAGGCCGAGGGGCCTGTATGATAGCTCCCGGCATCAAATAAAGATGTCGGAGGGCTGAAGGCCGATGGCCTGTGTGATGGCCCTCGACATCAAATAAAGATGTCGGAGGGATGAAGGCCGATGGGCCTGTATGATAGCCCCTGACATCAAATAAAGATGCCGGAGGGATCAAGACCGAGGGACCTGTGTGATTGCCCCCGACATCAAATAAAGATGCCGGAGGGATGAAGGCCGATGGGCCTGTATGATAGCCCCCGGCATCAAATAAAGATGTCGGAGGGATGAAGGTCGAGGGGCCTGTGTGATGGCCCTCGACATCAAATAAAGATGTCGAGGGGATGAAGGCTGATGGGCCTGTATGATAGCCCCTGACATCAACCAAAGATGCCGGAGGGATGAAGGCCGAGGGACCTGTGTGATTGCCCCCGACATCAAATAAAGATGCCGGAGGGATGAAGGCCGATGGGTCTGTATGATAGCCCCCGACATCAAATAAAATGCCGGAGGGATGAAGGTCGAGGGTTGCTGTGATGTGGAATCACGCTGAGGCTGAGGGCCGTTGTGATGTTGAGGCCGAGGGCCGTTCTGATGTTGAGGCTGAGGGCCATTGTGATGTGGAATCACGCTGAAGCCGAGAGCCGTTGTTGATGTAGAATCACGTTGAGGCCGAGGGCCTTTGGTGATGTAAAATCATGTAAGGCAAAAACCGTTATGACATAGAGTCATGTTGAGGCTGAGGGCCATCTGATGTTGAGGCCGAGGGCCATTGTGATGTCCTCAAGCTGAGGCCGAGGGCCATTGTTGACGTTGAGGCCGAGGGCCATTCTGATGCTGAGGTCGAGGGCCGTTGTTGATGTTGAGGCTGAGGGCCATTCTGATGTTGAGGCCGAGGGCCGTTGTTGATTTTGAGACCGAGGGCCGTTCTGATGTTAAGGCCGAGGGCCGTTGTGATGTGGCATCACGCTGAGGCCGAGGGCCGTTGGTGATGTGAGATCACGCTAAGGCCAAAACCGTTGTGGCGTAGAGTCACGCTAAGGCAAAGGGCCATTCTGTTGTTGAGGCCGAGGGCCGTTGATGACGTGGAATCATGCCAAGGCTGAGGGCCATTGGTGATGTAGAATCGAATTGAGGTCGAGGGCCTTTCCTTGATAGTTCCAGGAGTCCTCTGGGTGTATGTTCCTTCTTTCAGGCATCGACCGAGGGGTTGATTCCCCGCCTCGGCCGAAAGGAGGTCCAAGTGATCCGTTCGGGGGTTCGTCTGTTAGTCCCCCGGCGCTGGGCCGAAGGAACCCCTTTGCGTATTGTGGGCTGCTCAGAGCTCCATTTTGCTGGGCTTGGCCCGTTTGGGCCTGTTAGGCCTGATTGTAGAGGAAGTATGTGGGCCGGGGGTCCCTGGGCCATATACTCCATCACATGCATATTTCAAAAATCTCATATTACATTAGATCCGCATAGAATTTGATTATAGACATGAGACCACAAACCACGATACTCAATTTCATGATTCTAGTACCCAATAACGGAGGTTCGATGCTCACTGAAAATATTTTGATGTTCAACAAACAAAACATACCATTTTCATATCAATGATCATCTTGTAAGTTACGAATGCTCATTTGTATAGGTCTGATGCTCATTAAAAATTCATTAATGTTCATTGATCTCAATAGAGGAGATTTGATGCTCAACAAAATAGGTTTGGTGCTTATTAAAAGTTCATTATTACTCATTCTCCAGAAGTCGTAATTTTCATATCAATAGTGGAAGTTTGATGCTCAATTAAAATGTCATGATGTTCATTTAACAAACCTAACAATTTTCATATTAATGTGCACTTTGTAAGTTATGTATGCTCATTTGGTACTCATGTTATGCTCATTTTTACAATGTCATATCAATGTATATTTCAAAAGTATTATATTACATTAGATTCACATATTGAAATTAATAAGAGTGGATTATAGATATAATTTAATAACTTTTTATAAAAGAAAAAATAAGAAAAAGAAAAAGAATTAGAAGATGTGAAGCAAAGATCGTGATACTCATTATTTGCCTCCTAATACTCAATAAAATAGGTCAGATGCTCACTAAAAGTACATTAGTGCTCATTTAGCGTTAGCCGTGATTTTTCGTTTAATTTACAAAAATGACACCGAAATAAATTAGACTATATCAATTAAATGGACCGTCGTTCTTAATTAATTGGGGCTTCATCAAATTCATTAAACTTTATTAAAATTGGACTGAAGCTTCAATTAAATTACAAATAGACCCGGATGTACGATTCCCGCCGTACACCCACGTGTAGGATATACCACCTGTCTCTCTTTATTTTTACCCTCCCCTCCGCCACTTTCTCTCTTTCCCTATCTCTCCCACGCCCGTTCCTCTGTTTTTTTATTTTCTTCTCTTCTTTTTCTCTAATTTCTCCACCATTTTCACTCCATCCGTCTTCCAATTTAGTTTAGCTCACCAGCTTGTTCGAACACTCCTCTCCTGGAAGCCTCCAGCCTATTCGTACAGCACTCTATGTCCACTCCTCACTTTTTATTCCTATTATTTTAAAGCTTAAAATTGTGAAAGGAAGCTCAAATTTTCACCTTTTTATGATGGATGAATCTTCCCAAAGTCATTATTATTGAAGTAATCTATTTCGATTTTTCCATATGCATTTTAGGGTTCTTTTTTTTTTTTTTAATTTCCTGAATTTATGTATGTTATTATGTATGTTGAAACATTGAATAATAGCATTTTTGTTTTATTGTAAAAGATTGTGGTGTTAGCTATTGGAATTTTAATTCTAATACTCTATTTCATTATATGCCCATAACATGTTTGTTGGGATGTCTCTATGAACTTTTTTCATATCCAAGACATTTTCTCCCTTTTTGTTAACTACTTTTAGTTTCTTTTTTACTAGTTTCACAATTCTTATTAGTAGCATCGTACTATAGTCCCTGTCAAACTTAAAGTAGAGAAAACAAATCACAGGATTCACTATCTCACCGGAAGAAGCATTAGGAAAAGGTTTCTTTTTTAGTATGGTTTAATATCCTTCTTATCAGTTTTGTAATATTATTATAATCCTTGTTTGAATACTTCGTTATTAATCATTATCTCTATGTAGCTATTTCTATATCTCATATGAGTTTTGCAGCCATGGGATCAACAAGTTTGATAGACTTATTGGTCCTTGAAATTGACAAGGCATGGTGAAGGGAACATGATGGTCTTTTGAAGATGATAGTCTTATGAAGAATGTCAACTAATTTAGTCATAGGTGAAGCTCATGTTATCTTATAGAATTGGATGATCTCAAATTAGTTTCTTTTAGATTAGTCGGCATTGGAAAGTTGGAATGTGTTGACATTTGGT